GGAAAGATTATGGCCACTGTGTTTTGGGACAGCGAGGGACTACTGCTGCTTGAGTTCATGCCAGACGAGTGTACAATCACTGGCGATTCCTATGCTACCACCATGAAAAATTTACATGATGCCATCAAGGAAAAACGCAGAGGAAAGTTGTCAAGGGGGGTCCTTCTTCTCGATGACAGCGCGCCTGTCCACAAATCATGGAAAGTTCAGGTAGCAGTGAGGGAGTGTGGCTTTCAGGAGCTCAACCATCCTCCCTACAGCCCGGATCTGGCTCCTAGTGACTATTTTCTGTTCAGACACTTGAAAAAATTTTTGCTGGGAAAAAGATTTTCATGCAATGAAGAGCTGAAAGTTGCCGTTTCTGATTGGTTTGATGGACAAGAAGTTGACTTTTATTCCTAGGGAATAAAATCCTTGGAATCAAAGTGGAATACGTGTGTTGAGTTAAAAGGTGACTACATTGAAAAATAAAGTGTTATTTTTCCCCTCAGATGTTTCTTTCTTATTCAGGTAGATAACTTATTGAGTGACCCTCATATTTTCCAGGTAAATAAATCATGTGACAGGTACTCTTAATCCTTTTCTTAGCATAATTCAAATTTCCAGAATATTGATTAATGCATGAACAAATATATTGATGCATCTTAATGCATAAACATACTGGAAAAATAACAAATATCAACAACTCAGCAAATTAGGGTTCAGGAAGAGACCCTGTTTCTAAATGTCTGTTTGGGAGAGGAATTGGAGACTTATAATGTCTTTTAATTATTATTGCACCACAACTGGACCTTAAAAAGCCATCATCCACTGGACCACTTCAATTTTGTTTTTATTACATCTTCCTGTCATGTTTTGATAAGGATAGTAAAACAGATCATTTTCATGATTCTCTGGGTTTATTTTTTGTGCTTCCTGTATTGTGTTTTTTTTTGTGGTTTGACTTATGGATGGGAAATCTTTATATCCCACATCACTCAGCATGCTTTATATATTTACCACAAGTACAGTTGAAATAAATTTTTTTGCAACTCTGTAATGACTTTATGGACACCCTGTGTAAACTATGTGATATTGCACAGGTGACCAGAGTGTAGGAAAGAAGGTGAAGACAAGGGTTTGCACCCTAAAGCCAATCTCTGAGGAGGATGTCAAGAGCATGTCGCTACATGATGCCATATCTCAGGTACTTTATGCTAATTCTTAATTTTTTTAATTTAAAGAAGTGGATGAACATGTTCTATTGTACCATAGCTGAAGGAGCAAGGCAGACAAATGGAGAGCTTGAATCAGCTGCAGAAGGAGCTTCAGAAACAACAGGAACAGTTGATAAAGCAGCAGAAGATGATTGAGGATCAGCTGCATCTACTCCAGCAACCTCCCCACAGGCCACCACCATACCATTCCTCTGACTGCAATGATGCTGTTTTAGTGAGTTATCATTTTCGTTTGGGTGCATTTTTCTAAGCCAACGCTTGTTATTATTATTCATGAGACCTTGATTTCATGTGTCCAGATGGAAGGATGGGAGAGGCAGTCAGCTTTGGAGACAAGATATGAGTGTGAGGAGAGGAGTATGCAAACAAGTATAGAAGCTTCCACTCTGGGTCATGTAAACACTGACATGGAAGGAGAGGGGAGTTCCAGCTCCAGAAACAGAAGGCTCACTCCTGTCACTGTCCTTCCTTCCATCTCTTCTGGACCAATGATCTCATTACCAGAAGAGATCTCTCTCCCTGCCATAGACAAAGATGGCAACGTTGGTATGGATGATCACTAATGGCTGACTTGATCATTATTAAAAATTGACAAATTGTGAAATTGTATGCCAATGTTCATGTATGCTTGTGTATTTACATCTCAGTCTACGTGGATCCTCTCCAATTCGACATGGAGTCCATGGGGTACGAGTTGGTGAATGTGACTCTGGATCCATTGTCTGAGGGGATCTCGTTACCAGATCAGGGCGAAGGATCATCCCGAAATGCAAGCATCTTTATCATCCAGGACTCTCTCCCTGCCTCTGCTGATTCAGAGGTTGCCCTCCCTCCAACTGCCCTTCCAACCTCAGTCATCACAGGTAGGGCTATATTTGTTCAATCTCCTCACCTCATAATTTGAAGGGCAATATTTGAGCATGAATTTCCTCTCTCATTTCTCTTTTAGAGGTGCATCCAAGGAGTATCACTGGAATGGGAGTCCAGATGTGATCACATGTTCCTTCAGCTTCAAGACTCGAGAACCTGTTGTCTTTCTTACCTTTGCATATTTTTGCTGGGTTGATGTGTATTTATTTCTCCTAAGACTGTGGAGTTGTTTTTTTTTTATAGATAGACAAACATATATGTATTCTCTGTTAACTTCAACTGACAATTTATAAAATGATCATTGATGAATTTTTTTGTTTATATTTCATATCTGTTGTGAATTACGTCATCCTGTTTTTTCTTTTAAATATTATTATATTACTTCTGTTACACTGTATATTGGTATTGGTTCATGTGTTCTCTGGTATTTCATGCAGAGGTATGTGATACTGTATAAAATTGAAGGAATGAAAAGTATTTTTGGACAAAAGCTCCTCGTAGCATGAATGTATATTATACTGGAAGTGTTAGTCATTAGTCATTAGTGTCATTAGTGTATATTATACTGGAAGTGTTAGTGAACGAGAAGTTTTTAGAAAGGGGCAGAGTTACCAACTCCTGCAGGAGACTTGATTCTAGACAACTAAGGCTTCATGAATCACGATTTGCTTCCCACTAAACCGACTGAATCTCCTCCCTTTTTCTTGGAGGCATAGCTCACTTCATCGGGAAGTTGCTGTGACAAAGAAGATCGCATCTTGTCGAGTTCATGCTAAAAGGTTCATACTGAAAATGCGTGAGTATTCTGTTGCAGACAAGTTTCCCATGAATCAAAACCCGTCACGAGGGCATCGATAATTATTAGATGTTCGATGACTGCAAACTCGTCATTCATAGATAATTGAGAGAAAGGGTGAGGTGATTTCATCGGTAGTATGAAGCATTAAGTTTTTAAAAAATGCTGACCATTGAGTGAGATGTTGGAGAGCGTGGTTTGCCTACCCCCTCACGCTAGCCACGTGACTTGGGGAGACGGGACTTGTAGATCGTATTATCAGGACCATAAATAAGGTAGATATCTGCCCAGGAGCGCTACCGAAGGAAGTAGGGGGATGCAGTGACGCAAACGAAAAGCGAATAAGAGAGAAAGGAAAGTAAGTTTTTACAAATTGGTAGGACAGAAAAATATAGTAACAAGTGGAATGGAGAAGTTTCGATTAGACACAGTCTTAACAGTGGCGTATTTTGGCTGAAGAGTCGAGGGGGGGCAGGGCAGCAGAGCCGAGGTGCCAAACCCCACCCAAGCGATATCCGAGGAAAAAAATATTACCACCAGGGGAGCAGCCGGCCCCCCTGCCCCCTCTAAAATAAGCTACTGTGTATTAACTGAAACTCCTCCACAACTCCCCATGGAAGGTTTACTACTACTATACCCTTTTCAGAATGAAAAAGCAGCTGCAGGAATCCTCAAGCAAGCCACTTCTTATCGCAAGCGCGATAAGAAGTGACACTACCTAATCGGATCCGGTCGATATTCACGCATGAACACGGTGTAACGTGCGTCCAGGACTCCTTGATCAGTGAATTGTGTGGCTTCCTATTATACATTTCCTTCAGCTAAACTTGGTGATTTAGTCTTGTTTTCCAATGATGAAGGTAAGTACTAAAGCGTAGGCCATGCCGTTATTATAAAGCACTAAATAAGAACAGCATCTAGAGAATTAAGTAGGACTAAGCTCTGAAGAGAAATGAGGCTCTAGAAACGAGTTGCCATGTCGCTCCATTTCGCTATATGGCATGCAGCGGCACCATTCTTGCCTCTCTTAATAATGTCGTTATCCAACGATGGCAAAATAGTAGCCACTGGCTTATTTTCCCTCAAGTTGGTTCTCGAGCGTTAAGATGCCTCCTGAACAGCCATCAGGCGCCCACTACCGGAAACGCTACAAGGAACGAGATGGTCTGAAACGCTCAGCAGCGCGCTTTTGTGGGCTCCGAAGCGGAAGTGACTGCATACAACGGCATCGAAGGGAGGAGTCACATCCTTCTCCTCCAAGCCACCTCCTCCTGAATGGGGAGGCGGGAAAATATAGGGTGACATGCACCAGATCTGTTTAATTAACCCTTTCAGACCTGAATTAAGGCCGCTATCGGAATAATATCCTTTTTTGCATTTTTGAGCTTTTTCGTGATTTTTAATTGAAATTTTCATGCTTTATATGTAGTTTTCATATTTTTGTATAAATGTACCATATCATACCATATATTATATATTAAGCATTTAATTAAATAACTGAAGATTACAAAACTAATGGGTGAAAGAAGGCCTCTAATAGAACTGAGCCATGCGTAATTGCGCCCATTGTATGGAGCGCAAAGTCACGAGAATCCTAAGAAATCGCCATAGACACAATGTAAATGCAGTATCCATTGGAATGGACGACAGGTCTGAAAGGGTTAAATTAATCTGATCTCACAAAGGCCCTCTACGGGAATCCGCTTGACGGAGGTAATCTTATTTCCATAACGTCATAACCGTATCAGTTAAAAAAGTTAAACGGATCTGGCTCGTGCCACCCGTAAACTCGCAACATCCAGGAGGTTGGACTGCCTTCCGCTGTCCCGCTTGGTGGCATCTGCCATTGGTGTGTGCAGCGGCATTGCGTCGGAGGCACGTGCTTTTTCAAGAAAAGAAGCAAAAATAAAAAAAAGACCCATGAAATGCATGGCAAACAGTATTCCAGAGTTCCTGTTCCCCCTCCCCTTCCCCTTCCCCCCCCACACACACACTTTGTCCTGTGCCCCCCTTCGCATTGTCCCGTGCCCCCTCACTTCTTCCATCCACGCTACACTTTTGGGTGTGTGTATATGTATCTTCTCTTTCAAGAGGTGGACCTTTCCTGGACGGCGTCCAGAAAGGTCCACCACGTACAAACCTCTTCCCCTTTCACGATTGTTTGAAAGTTGACAGAGTGGATGTGTGGGTGCGATTAACGGGAAACGGGTTGTGTTCCACTTTATATAATTCTTTTTATTGTTACCTCATCATCTTGCATTTCATTACCGATCCCACCGGCACTATTACAATTTTAATCACAATAATTAAGCAACACCAACATACGGACGCGCCAGGAACGCCCACATTTTTGTAGATGGTTACACAAAGCCCCCAGGGGAATCCTTGGGAAAATGCCAGCTGTAGGAATGTCAGTCCATTGTCGGGCGAAGACATAAATGTACCCCTGACTTGCAAGAAGCTAAAGGATTGTGCTTTAAGAGGGCATCCATGATCGTGAGAAAGCAACCTCTCATCAAAGAAAAAAATCGAGGAAGAGACAGCTAATGAAGCACCTGCTGCTGATTCAGACATGGAAACGGAAGCAGATGTCGACCCCGATCCTTTCAAACCACCAAGTCCCTCTCCATCGATTATAATCGAGAAAGGTTCTAAAGCATCAAATGGGGTTGGAATTGATCCCGCCGATTGTTCAGAACGGCCTGAGGATATTGGGGATGAAATAAGATACTTCCTGATTGAGCAAGGTGCAAAATGGTGAGCAAGGCGATGCTGACCTCTCTCACTCGGAGTTTGTCGAAAGTTGACTGAAGAATGGTTCAAAACAAAAAAAGAATTGCCAAACGGCGAATGAGTTCCAAGACGCTGGCTTCCGCACAGCAAGTCGAAGAATGCTCTCTACAGTCTCCCTTGGTGTTTATAAGACAAAATGGAATGGAGACGGTTTGCACATCCCTCACTGGGTATCACAGATTAGAAAAAGGCTATATCGCTAATTCCTGACCACGAAAACAGGAACTATATAGGGACTGCTTCTACCAATAGAAATACTCGATCAAACGCTTCTGAGAGGAGAGGCTATAGATTCCGAAAAGCAGAAAACGATTCAGACAGGAATTCGATTCTGGAAGTATGTGCTCTATGCTGATTGCTACCTTAGCCAAGCTAAGTTGAGCTCAACGAGAAACCTTGTTTCTCGTTGAGCTCAACTTAGCTTGGCTCCACCGATGACCCGGATTAGCGGAAATGTTCCTGGTCATATCAAGCTGTTGTCATTCTATGATTCCCATCTGAAGCAGCGTCTTGATAAAATAGAAAAGGTAAGAAAGCTCCTGTGAAACATTTACCTCCTGCTGTCCAGAATGAGTTCATGGATCTCTTGGGGGGGGGATGACAAAAGGGCGCCAAGATCAGGAAAGCGTAGTATAGATACTTCTCGATCGTGTTTGGCTCTACTCCAGACGTGTCTCACGCTGAAGTAGATTCGCGGTGATGAGATTCGTCCAGGTCAGCGAAGAGAGATTCTCGAAAGCCTTCTGTGAGCTTTTTTTTTCATGGACGAATTTGGCAGATTGTCGGAGCCATAGTTATAACAATGGAAGCAACATGGCTGGGAAGTACTGTGCGTGGATTTTGGAGGAAAAACAAAGTTTCTTTTCGATTTACTCCCTGTGCAGCACCCTCTCTGAACCGCGTGGATTTCATGCGACCAGTGTCGACTTTCGAATGAAGAACTTTCAAGGACTGATTCAAAGGCCTTTTTCTCTTCATTTCTGGTTTAAGATACAGGTGACCTTGAAATCATGTTTTTCCTAGAATTCGAAGGAATCTCCAGTGCTTTAGATAAGATGTCCAACGACCCAAGTCGCCCAGAGGCAGTCGCCGACGCTGAACCGCCAGCAAAAGACAAATCGCAACTCTCGCCTCGACGCTCGTGCGATTCCCTGCATGTACGATGGCAGATTCAGCTTCCCATATCTTGGGACTCGTGAATGCCCATGCAGTCGATTCGAGAGTCTCTGATTACTGTGGTTCTGACGAAAGCGAGGAAAAACTATGCCTGAAATCAGGCATGAAATACACCCTTCCCCACCGGGAGATCCCGTCGAAAAGAGAAGAATGCCCAGAGAGGAATCCGTCCATCGTTTATTGGGTGACCTTGAACGACGCTTTCGGAGTCTTCGGTCTGTTTGTGATGATTTTAGCTTCCCGAACGGAGGTTCCCATTGCCAACTGGCCCTTCGAGGAGCTTCAGAGAAGCACACAAAAGAATCGACTATGGCATACTCAAGCGATTTTAATGCAATCGAGCTTCACTCGGAGTTGAAAATCTTCAGCGCGATGAACCCTGTTCGGACCGAGACTCAACGTCATAAATCACCGCTGGATCTTCTCAATTCAATCCATCAGAAGCGACTTGTCGAGGCGAATCCCAAAGCACTCGAGATCTCTCCGACCCTTGCTTCGTCGATTGGCTCACGCGAGAGAACCCTCAGTAAACTTATCAAGTCGCACGATGAGTCAATTAATGAAGACTCCACTGAAAATCTGGTTTGGAAAGAAGTGGAAGAAGTGGACTTTGACCGTGACATTGGCGTCTTTGCATCTCGAAAAGCAAGGAAACCAGTGCTGCAGTTACCAAAGGCGACCCGTCATCACGCCAATCTCTTGAGCTCACGATCTGTTCCGTAAACTCGAATGCATTTACCGACTGGGCTTTGTCATTCGGATTCACTTCGACTGAAGGAGTGCAAACCGAGACATGTACGTATGGAACTAGTAGGCTGGAGAACCAACGGACACAAGGTGGGAAAAACCAAGGGGGGGGGGGGGTGGTGGTGGACGCGTGCTTGACGTTCTGCCCAAGGGCGCCTCATGGACTAATTATAGTCCTGGATATAAACATACGTCTCGCACGAGACCTGTTCCTGCGTCAGACGCTGTCTGGTCATGCAATGCGGATAAGTGGAGCCGTGCGTCGTGATCGATCCGGCAGTCCATCACTAATGAGTACTTCTACGCAGTATACGGTGACTAATCTTCATTATTCTTGACCGCACTAGTGCGGTCCAAACAACTTGGTTTGAATAGATTTGTCAGTTGATATAAGGGAAGGCGATATGTTTTTGTCGTGCTTTGAAGGTGAAATAACAAAGAATAGCATATATCATTTGTCATTTTCGTTTCCGATGTTATTAGATAGCATGGAATCGTGTTCAGGATTGGACAGAGTGTATTTAAGCACATCCGCTGTATTTTTTTCTGGGGCGGCAGTGGGCGTGATGAAAGCTCTCAAAGAAACAATGCTTATGATCTGCCATAGGTCAACATTTAAATGAATGATGAGTTGGCGTCCTGGGTAGTCGCCAAGTTCGATCGTACCCAGGTCCAGATCCGCAGACACAATGCATACCAACCTACCAAGGTCCAGCGACCGCACTGGAAGCCGTACCATGCCTGTTCGCACCTGTCCTGTTGATATCCTGTCACTCCGGGTGGATATTGTCCTGGTAGGCGCGTGCTTCATAGTGCTTTGAGGCTGACCGGGACCAACTCTCCTTGCTGGCTAGGAAAAAAAAATTTCCGATGGGGTTGGGTTCAATCCAACTCCTGGCACGCACGGCCTGTTCACACCTTTCCTCTGATTCAACACAGTTGTGTCAAGACAGGTGGTGTAATGATGCACTAGTGGCAATAGATATTCATTTTCCGCTGTACAAGTAGAGCACACGATGCCACGTGTCTCTCCTCTAGCAGGTCTGTCGTGGTTTTTTTTTTTTTTAGTTGGGTTCAATCCTTCAATTAGACAGCTATATACAGTGTTTTTCACTTGAGACGGACAATTTTCCACCTTGCTTGGACACTCGTTCATGGAAAGTTCCCCGTGCGTGAGTGTCGAAGTCAAGTGAAAAAATGTCTGACAAGCTAAAAACTGGCATTCCTATGCTTGCACTGAAGGAGACTGACTTAAAGGCCTAGATCTAAATAAGAGGAGCCCGCCTGAATGTAAGTGGCTATGTTATGCCAATTTGCTTTGTAAAAGCTAGGCCCGAACTCTAATTCAGCTGTTCATTTAGTTTTGCATAAAAAGTGACCCGGCCTAGGTTCGCCAAAAGAGTGCCCCCAAGCAAAGCTGTCACTTAGGCCTATGTGACAGATTCTCCAACCCCTTTCCCCCCACGAAAGAAAACTTCCCAAAACTCGGAAGACGCAAAACTTGAATTTAAATGCAGTATTGATTTTTCAAATTTGATTGGTGCAGAGGTCCCAAGCTCATTAGACGGCACGCCCCATTTAATTAGATGTTGGTCGAAATTTGTCAAAATGTAGATACCAGGTAAATTATACACCATATGGACAGACCTAAAAATGCTTGCACCCTAATTTGCATCATATGATTGTGATAAAAGTTTCCTATAGTTATAGTAAAAAATGGCTATATATTAAACATCCAAGAAATGTGGAACTCTACTTGTTGATGACTTGATTTTATTCTGTTTTTGCAAGATACTAATCCATTGATTGGAGTGGCATTACTTCAGTAGTGGTTCTTGCATGCAATATATATTTTTTTTTACCAAAAGAAGTCCAGTTGTTTAGTTTGTTAGAGCTGATGTAAAATTTCTGCATATCTAGGTGAGTTTCATGTCTTGGACAGAAGACTTATATATTTCTTTTTTGGAATGCTGAATCACTCTTTCACATTCTCCTGTTGGTGAATAAATGAAATACTGCTGAGTGGTTATTTTTGGTGATCCACTCCATTTTGTTTCAGAAAAAATTCAAATTACTCTAAGTGAATTGAGGTTCACTATCTGTAATTGTATGCTTTTGGTAGTCCCCAGTAATTAAAAAAACCAGCAACATTCTGTGGCCTTTGATGTAGTGATAGTGTTTGGACAAAACATCTTCACCCATTTCTAGTAGGTACCAGTAAAAACTAGAAAAATTGTTTACCTTCTGCCTTCAGTAAGATCAGTAAACTCAAGGTGTAAATACTTACACTGTTCAGTTCTGATGGCTTGCTGAATTAAGCCAAAGTATCAGCATAGCTTAATGATGCTAATTCGGTTTTGGAATTCACACAGAGAATATCACCACCTAATGGCATGTGTTAGACTTGGAGAATATGAATTTGAGAATCTGGTATTTAGCCAAAAGATGATTTCAAGACATGCACTCCCTATGATACTTTGCTTGAATGAGCTTTACTTTTAGGAATGTTTTTCCATCAGTTCTGTATTGTTTTGTGTGTCTGCAGCAAATTCAAGGCAGCCTGGCATACAAAGTCATCCTCCATATGATATAGTCTAATGAAAATCTATCAGCTCTTATGAGGAAGATTTCAATGCAATAAAAAAGCACTGTACCTCAAGGTGAATCTCATCACTTGCCACACATCACTTATGTCACATATCACATGCCATGGCAAGAAAGGCCACATGAATCCAAAACAGCTGACTAGCCCACTGGGATGGTAAGAAAAATTCAGACCACTCAGATGATTAATGGACTCTTAAGACACCACTCAGCCATATTACTGGCTCCATTTCCTAGCTCTAGCCATACTGGTATTTGGAGAAGATCAATTTTACCATCCTTTGTTTGTTCAATGATGAGATAGTGGTTGCTCTCCCTTTTTAGAGTCAGACCTGCATGAGCATTGCAAAGACAAGGAGTCATTAATCATGCGGGCACCAAGGTCCCAGAAAGACATACATATGTTCATAGAGGCACTCCGCTCTCAAAGACTTATGGAGGACAAATGTGATGTTGTGATCCTTGTTGGTGCAAGGAGGTTTCCTTCCCATCGATGCATCCTGGAAGCTAATTGCCCCATGTTCAAGAACATGTTCCAGTCTGGGATGAAAGAGGTGAATCAGACTGAAATACGCCTGGAATCTGTGGATGAAATGGCCTTTCGAGCCATTTGGGATTATATGTATGGAATTGAGCTCATTTTTGAAGACCAACAACTCCTGCCTGTGTTGTTAGCTGCTGACTATCTTCAGATGGAGCAAGTTGTTGATTGCATATCAACAGCTTTTGAAAAATCTCCTACAGTAGAGAATGCAGCCAGTATTCTCTTTGCCACTCAATCATCTCCTGTTCTTGTTCATGCAAAATCCCTGGCCCGAGCCTTCTTGGCTTGCAACATTCACAATTTCTTTGAAAGTTCTGTCTTCAAGGATACACCTACAGAAGCCTTTATGGACATTCTCCAGCTAAGTTCCATGGAAGTTGATTGTGAAGAGACTGTGTGGGAAGCAGTGATGACATGGGTTGATCACAAACCAGAAGAACGTAAGTCAGCCCTCCCACTACTCCTGCAGGAAGTTCGTTTCCCTCATATGAGCTCTAGTTATCTTTTTACTGAAGTAGCAGCCAACTCTGACATAATGGCTGAACCGTCAAATGCACAGCTCATCCTTGAAGCATCCAGATACCATATACCTTCACAGAGGGATTTGATAGTCACTCAACGAACCAAGCCAAGACTTTATCAGGACAGAATCTGGTGTTTTGGAGAGGGTCCTTCAGGTAAGGGGCTGTTTTCATTCTCTGCCAACAATTGGGAACCATCTATAGCACATGCTGTACAGGTACAAGTACAGAGCAGGAAACAGGAGAAGTTTGTCACATCCATGGGCATATGTCCCGTACGAGGAAGAGTCTGCTATATCGGTGCGATGAGATCTTCAATCATCCGTGTTGCAGATGGTCAGAAAGTGAATGTTCCACTCCCACCTGCTTCTCTAGGGCTCCATGCACGGGCCACAGCAACTTCTTCAGATGCTGCCTACATCCTGGGTGGATTTGGAATTGCCTCTAACCCAAGACATTCTCCAATTCGATCTTGTTCTTCCAATGCAGCACGATTGGATATTGCTGCACAAACGTGGGTCTCACTTCCAAAGATGTCGACAACAAGAAGTCATGCTGTTGCTACCATCCATAACTCTGTCTTGTATGTTGTGGGAGGTAGTGGGAATTCAGGATTGGCCACAGCTAGTGTAGAACGCCTGGACATTCGCACTAAGAAGTGGGAAGAGCTACCACGATTGCCTTGTGGTGTGGCTGGGGCTGCTGTTGCAATTCACAATGAAAAGCTCTTTGTCACTGGTGGTGAGGAATTAACATGGGAAGATGCTTTGCATGCTGACACTTTCATGTTTGATGAAGGAGGTGCCCGATGGATCAAGTTACCCAGCATGACAAGCCCAAGGAAGTATCATGCTCTTGTGACTTGGAGGAGTGACCTTTATGCAGTGGGAGGAATGAAGAATTCCACAGTGGAAACATGGGATGGACATAATTGGGTTCAGATTCACAAATTCAATGGTTTTTCTTTTCTCTCTAGACCTGCGATGAATGGATGGTCTCAATCTTGAAGCACCAACCACATACTAACTAAAGAGAAAATGTGGACTGTAGTTCACAAGTTCAGTTACTTTTCTTGTCTATATCTGTGATGAAAGAATGGCTTCAGTCAGATGCTAATTGAAATTGTGTGATTTAAGTCTATAGTTTGACTCATCTTCAGTGGCCCATACTGGGATGAATAAATTTTTCGTCATGAAGAGCTTTTCCATATTATGCATGTAAACATGAATTTTTCATTCGCAGGTCTTCTCAGGAGAAAATTTCTACAGGGTGGCCCATTTAAAAGTGGACCCGGAATCACACCATCTACAACCTCCTTCTCCAATAACCTCTGCTGCCGCTTACGAGTGCCGAGCGGATCCACTTTTCAATAGACCACACTGTAGAATAACTGATTTTCATTGACCAAACCAGTATCGTGTTTTCATGTTCCTCCTACACTTGAACCTCGCTTCTGTTGCATGGATATTCTGGGACAAAAACCCTTCTGTGAAACCAAGGCAATAGAAGAAATCTCCACTCTCCCTAATGTCTCAAGAACCCCCCTTTATGTGGCGTGCTTAAGCTCGGTACTAGCAATGAAAGTTTTCTAAGTAACGTTTAAAGTTATACGAAATTGCATTACTGTCTTGTTTTATTGGCCAAAATTGAAGCGTTCTATTGGTGAGTAAATGGAATTTTATTCATACTGTCGTAGGAATCACCTCTGGCGCCAAAAGACATCGTCATTCATCCCTTAGAAGAAGCTCTTCGGTCTCCGTTTCCACATGCGGTATTAGCAAAAATTGAGCACAGAAACTGACTCCTCCGTTCTCAGAGTCGAATTGGCTCCCTGGGAAAGAACATCGGCTGAAATGAAATTCAAATCACTCGGGCTCGGGCCTTGTGTTGGGTGTCCAAAAACTGATTACTTGTATTCGTTTAATTTGCATACGTGTATTTGTATACATGCAGACCCATTCAAGGACTTATTTTTCCAATTGTAGCTTCCACCTTCTCAGCAAGATGACACTAGGTTTAATTTTGTCACAAATGTCCTGGTTTTCTTCAGTAGACTTCGGCCTGAATGCTGAAGCCTCGTTAAATTATTGCCCCTTCATGTTTCCTTGGACTCCTTTGGAGAAAAATAGCTTTTTTGCCTAATCCATTTCCCGCCAAGTTTTTCATCCATTTTTCCTCTACCAAATATTGGACTGCCTTGAGAAAAATCTGCAGCGCCGCAAAATAAAACCGTACACCGTTCAAAACTGCGCTAACTTTAATCGATTAGTTGCTTTTTTGCCTGATAGAGGTCCCATGCTACTCGGAACATGTCACCTGAGGAAGACCCGGAAAGGCGAGCTCGGATTGAATCCGTAATAGACATGAAGTGTGTTTAAGACCCCTTTCCTCACCAGAGCGAGGTTTCATCATTAGGGCTTAGATCTTGGATCGATCTAAGGTCTTCCGACGAGAATGATCCTTCTCCTCGGATGGTGCATAGAGGCCCATGTCCAAGGCCCTCGCGATTGTCTGACCTCAGTCCCACTCTTGAATTATTTTTGTAACGTTAAAGGTCAAATGTATCCAAGAAACTTTCAGGAACCACAACGACTCTGTCTAGCATCACGCAACACCGGCGGGTGAAAGTGTCGTATGATGTTTCTCCTGGCTTTGATCGTGTGATTCGGAATGGCGAGCACATCTAAATTTGAGACGGTGCTTCTTGCAGATCTTTCATGCATAAATTGACATTGCAAACGTTTGAGAATTACATGTTTGAGGACAAATTTGTGTTTGCTTCATTTCGTTCCGTGAGGCAGATCTTATATTCATATTTTGAAATCTCACCATTCCTTTCTGGGCATCCTGTACATCTCTTAAACCTGCGTTGACTGCAGGAAGTTCCTGATGAGAGCGAATAAGTATCGACAGCATGTATCGGAAGTTGACTGGCCGCTGGACAAGCAATAGCAACTTCGAGCAGCGTCACCTTAGAAAAAAAAAGAAGTAGGAATGGTATTACCTGCAAACAGGTCCAGTCTGGGTGGTCCGTTCTTACGTAACAACGAAGCAATCAGAATCGTCATGATGGAACGGGCAGTTAATATGCCATTCTGTTGATAGAACTGCGACAAGGGCAGGTTTCAGAACATCCACACAACAGATAATAAAAACGCTCCTGGCGAGGGAAGTCCCATCCCATATAACGAGGGACAGGATTCTAGGAGAGGAGTTTTCCTTCTTTTCAGTTTCCGTTAGAGCAGGAAGGAAGCTGAGTTTGTGCGTTCTCAGGGAACGAAGAACACCACAGAACAAACCCATAAACCTCCTTACGAAACGAGACCCTTCATCGGCAAGGACGGGAATTTAAAGAGATGCAATGCACAGGGTGTTCCACAATGATGGGCAATCCCAACAAAATGGAAAGTGCAGGGCATATAAGTTTATTCCCTTACTGAGGTGTGATGTTTAGCACGAGTGCGAACCACGCGAAAACTCGGAACCGTATTGCTCCACCCAATGCTTCCATAATACTGTAGATCAGTGGTGAGCAGCCCGCGGGCCGCATGTGGCCCGCGAGGCCATGGTGTGCGGCCCGCTGGGCTTTGCCAACTTATTTTTTTTTCCCCTGTCATCTGCCATCCGGAGTAGAGCGCACGTGCGCTCAAGGATTCCGTTATCCACTGCAGGAGAAACGGAAGCAAGAAGTAAAACATAACTATATTTCCCCCACAGCTGCAAACATTCCCTCAATCTCTTCTTGGTCAGTGTATGACTGCTCTCTGAGCATCCGGCTTACTTGATATTTTGCTCAATAAAAGATGAGATAATTTTCACATGGAGCATATTGTTAGCAGCTACATGGTTTACTAAGCCAGGCATAGGATTATTTTGGTATTCAGCCTGTAATTTAGTATTAAAAAAATACAAACATATAATGCATGCGGCCGCTGGGAACCTAAAAGGTTCACTTGCGGCCCGCAGTCAAGAAAGGTTGCTCATCAATGCTGTAGATCGTGACACTTAGAGAGATGAGTGTTAGAATGTTTCCAAGAGATCAGTTTCATTTCTCATTTCCCTCAAGACGGATTCAAGGCACAACATCTAAGGCGTTTCCTACACTTGTTCCATAGAGCTTCAGTCATCATTTCAGCTCCAACCCTGTTCTTGACCCTTGCTCCCGGGTGTTCGCAGGCCATTGAGATCAGGAGAGTTCCTTGGCCACTCCGAATTACTGGAAAAGATTTCTCAAGTTCCCATTCCCTCCTTTCTACACGTTTAAATCTAAATTAGGGATCGTTTAGACACCGACCATAATGAACTGCTTTGAACTTACTCGGAGATCTATATTAATCATTTTCTCTCAAACGAGAGCAGATCATTAGGAATCAATTTGGTAAAAGAATTGAGAATTTTTCTTTGCGCCTTCATTATTTTTTTATGATAAATATGATGGAGGGAATTAATCCCCCCAATTAGGTTGGGTCCTCGAGAAAACAGGGAACTGTTTCGCATGTTATTCCATGCCTTTTCTCAACCGTCTGTGCGATCGGCCCTCCCGCTTTCATTTGCACTCATGGAAATGTCCACATATAGATTACGCCCTTGGGAGGTTTCGAATTGCTTCATTGCGTCTTCGCTTTTGTTCCTGCTCTCCCCTTGGGGTATCGTTCTAAAAGTCCACTACGGCCAGTGGCAAGCTGACCGATAAGCCTAGATGCAGCGCGGCGGGATCCGAGAAGCATCAGATCGCCCGGGTAGCCGACTTATCAATGGTCATCCCGGAAGCAGAATGATTATTGCCGTCCTGATTGTCTGGAGCGACGGTCGACCTAGTATGGAACTCTTGAGCCGATCTCATCGTGCTTATTTTTTTGCCGAGACGCCACATCGAATGAGAACGGTCGAAAATTACTAGACTTCAGAGCCGGCTATGGCCTATTACCGACATCGTCTCAAGCTCGAGATTATCCACAACACCTGATCTACTGATGATTGGCAGTCGGACTGGTACGGTGTGCCAGCAATCGCCGATCGACCGTGTGACGGTTTCAGCTGGCTTGTGGAACCTGTTAAGCCTCGAAGCGGCAAGGTTAAGCCCTGTGACGGGTGAACTGTCGATCGATCGACAGTTGCCGCTTCCAGGGTCGATGGACACGAGGGTAAAGCGTCGAGTCGAACTGAGCACCGATCACCACCTGGGTCATGTAAACACTGACATGGAAGGAGAGGGGAGTTCCAGCTCCAGAAACAGAAGGCTCACTCCTGTCACTGTCCTTCCTTCCATCTCTTCTGGACCAATGATCTCATTACCA